GGGGAGGATAGGTAGTGAAAATAAGAGTTTATTCTCAAAATCTCTCCACCTTTTAGGAGAAAAGTTGGGAGGAAAATGTAGTGAGTTTCACACCTTATTTTCTTCTCAACTTTCTTTCCTCTCACTTTTTCTTCTTCATCCAAATAAAAAAAATGTATTTTCTCTCTTGTTTTCCTCCCACATTTTCTTCTCTCTCATATTTTCTCACCAACCAAATAAAGCATTAGAGTGGAGAAAATTAATATAGAAAATTGATAAATGCTTCCTTAAAATTTTAGGTTGGAATTAATATATTGTCAAAGTCATGCATGAAAATAGTTCGGGAATTATATTGTTTAGATGTTGAAAAAACTCGATCGAATATTATTAGATGCTATGTGTGTTGTTGGGTATGAGTGAGATAAAGTCCGAGGTATTTTTAATTTCATTGAATGATTTGCTATGATTTGTTAAATGCAGAGATCAATTCTCTGCATATAAAAAAGTATCTATCTAACAAAAATCTAAAAATCAGGAACAAAATATAATATTTCCGTCTTGTGTGAATTGAGGAGACTAAATGTAGGAATTCTTATTTTTTAAAATTTTAAACTCCTTTCCTTCTCCATTGGTGGCCAAACCCCCCCCCACCTTCTGTTAAAGAATAATTGTTTATGAAATAAGCAATTTAAATTAAAAAAAGAGAAAATTCTTGGAGATATTTAATCTAAAGGCAAGAATTCAAGAAGATTCAACAAAAAGAGAATTTTAATCATACTAAAACCAGATCATTGATTTCTGTTCTCAAAAGTTATCTTTTATTTTTTAAAAACAATAAAATTAAAAAACTTATTTAGATAAGGGCTTTGAATTTAATTGTTTTCATGACTGTTATCAATTTTTGGAAAGCACAGGTAACATATTTTGTTTTAAAACAAAAAATAGATACATCTTAAATTTTTTTATTTAATTTTTTATTTTTAAAATACACTACATTTAATTATTAAAAATGTAATTAATTTGATCAATTACTATTACAAACCATCATTATTAACAGCCAGCAGTATCACTATTAGTTAATTTTTTTAATTCTAAAATTATTTTTAAATTAACATAATAAAAGTATTTTCTTTTTGATTTATTTTGAAAAATATTTTTGATTTATTTTAGAAAATATTTTAAAAAAATCAGTTTACGTAATAGTTTTTTAAAAAATATATAAATAAAACCAAGCAAGCCTTAAGTTTAATTGTCTATGATTTTTTGTTTTAAATTATCCAAAAAAATTAAAAGTCCTCTAATAAAGCAAGACATTGTTGATTGATGAAGTAGTTTGTCTGTCATGAAACTGTCATTAACTTGGCACTTTGTAATGATTGAAGAAATTAATAGTAGCATTTTGGGTTAAATCATCAGCCATAGCTTTGATGTGTTGCTATCTTTTTTATATGTTGCCATCGTGTGTTGGATAGTAGCTTAGTTCTATTGTTTTCGCTAAACCCCATATGGGCCTAATATTAAAGATAATTGATTGATCATTTGAATTGATACGAGAATTACTCCTTCCACCACTAAGGTTGGATATAGTGAAAGAAAATAATTCTTCACAACGTAACAATTACAATTTTAATTTTTGTTAAAAAAGTGTATACATTCAATGCTTAATCGTCTACAAAATAGGAAAAAGTGTCTACATTTAGCTTTTGACTGTGTCTTTAATAGGATCATATTCAATAAGAAAATACTTGTAAATAATAATAATAAAAAATCCTCCCTCCATCCCTATATAGAATAGTTTCTCAAAATTTGTTCTATCTTTAAATATAAAAAGTGTCATAATAATTTTGAGTAGTTAGATAATGTTGTTTTTATGGTCATGAAAAGGAGAAGATATATCAATTGTGTGCTTTATCATAATTATAATATTAATTGTGATATTATTGGATGTACTTTCAACTAAATAATATATTTTTATTAGTATGCAAGTATTGGTTTAAAACATTTTAAACATACAAAAATAGGGAGTATATTATACATGAGATGTAAGTTTCTTGAGACTTCAACGAAGTTCATTGTCTATTTTTTTTTTAAATAAAAGAAATCTAAAGTCTCAAATGCTAATACATGAGTTTAACTTTTCTATTGCACTTTCATCTTTTGTTATACTTAAGCCCAGGATGGACCCGCATTTATTATAGAGGGGGCAATCAGCCCCGCTAACTTAAGAAGAAATTATTTAAGATAACCCTAAATAATTTTAATTTTCCTCTTAAAAAATTTCAATTATCTCTTTATAAAAGTTGACTTATCCCATTTTCTTTTTTTTTAATACAAGAGACATTATATTAACAAATAAAATGAAAATACAAAATCAAAGGTTCAAAACTTAATAATAAAAGCAAAAGCAAAAACAAACAGTTTGTAGTTAGTATAACTATAATCATACTTATGGAAAGATACATGAGTAAACCGACGGAGCATCTACTTTTGTCTTGGTAGACAGTACTTTGACCTAAAGGAGGAAATAAATTTCCTTTGTTGAGCATTAGCACTAAGTCACCAAGTTAGATATAGGAATCCTAATATTTTACCAAAAGCTATAGATTTAGAGGAATACACTTCAAAGACTGAGTGCCATGAAGAAATCAAGAGCTATCAAATCATATCCATAAAAAATGAGATGATGGAGTTCTGCAACATCCAAGGAAATGTTCACGAAACAGTAAGGTTTCTTCATTTTTTTGAACTTACATATGTGAATTTCCCAATATAGCAATTGATACGATAATGTTCCAATCCTCTTTGTATTTTATGTATGATGACTTGAAGGATCTAATCCATTAGCATGTTTTCAATTACAAGTAAATCTTGTAAAGAGTAAATCTTGCTTCAAAACTTGAATGAACGATTCAAATTATCTCTTCTTATTTTGATGAAAAGGTTTTTGAACAATCAAATTTGATGAAGAGCAAAATACTTATTAACAACTTTGTTTCTTGATTTTGATACAAAGTCTTCAAAACTTGCAAAATCTATTGTGAGAGACCAATCTTTAAAATGGATATAGATATGATAGATAGAGTTCTAAACCAAATAGCTTTAATGATTGGACATTCATGGAAGAGATAATTTATGATTTCTTAGGTGTCACAACCAAAAACACAATGCAAAGAACAATTCTAATGATGATTGTTTAAAACATCACTTATAGAAATAGCCATGTGAATTAACTTCCAAATAAACAACAGAGTCTTTAAGGAATGTGCAATTTTCAAAGAAAATCTCAAACACATTCATTTGCATAAGCGCTAGTTGTTGTAATAATTGCTAGCTTAGTGAAACCCTCTTTCGTATAATAATGTCATGTGCCCCATATATGTTTATCCTTTTCATTAGTGAATGATATTAGAGTGCTAAGTATGGACTTAGCAGTTGCTTCACCGTACAAAGCTTTGATAGTAGAACTATTTTAATAAGAAGCAGTCCAAGACTTAGGGTTTTTAATAATAAAGATAAGATACTTTACAAACATTATAATCCCTTAAAACATTTGGCCGAATAGGTTTACACCAATGAGTATGAATAATAGAGATACATTTTCCATTGCTTATTCCACTATCTAAAATTATATATGTGTGCATGTTATAAACTTAAATAGCAATATTTTTAAAATGGAAAAGCAGAAATTTAGAAAAGAAATTGTTTATAAAAGATGTTATCACAAAAAATTCTCCACTATACAAAAGAGGTATATCAATTTTATTTAATAAAAATTAAAAACATGGCTCTAATAGATATAAAAAGAATTTATATAAAGAGAGTATTTTATATCATTATAACATTATGTTTTATGCATTTTTCATATTTAATTTTATTAACTTATACCATTACCATAATTTAATAGATATTTAAGAGTATCTATTTTATAAAATATTAATATTTATTTTAAGTATAAATTATGCCTTTATTGATTAATTTTTTTGAATGTCACTGCTAATGACGGAATTCTAATATGTTTCACATCACATTAGAAATGGGCATTATATTAAGCTTTGTGTTAATTTAGCTCGCTCGACATGTCCGCTGTAATAATTTTAGACACGATTTTACAGCGTCCATCCTTGAGGTGGAGGAATCATCTTTCGAATTTAATATAATTTCGTTTTTTTTTTTTGCATAGTCATAATTATAGACCTGAAATTAAAAAGGGGGAAAAAAACGATGAGCAGCCAAAGCCCTTAGGGCTGCTTTTTTAAGTCAGTTATCAAACAGATTAGAGATAAAAATAAAAGAGAATTTTATTAAATAAAAAAGAAGACAAAAATAAAAGGTCTCGAAAATTGAGGAGTACAGTGAAAAAGATTTTATTGTCATTTCACTTGAATGGAGTTATAGAAAGAGACATCAGATATATATACACATATACTATATTTTGCTGAAAAGTGAAAAGGAAGGAGATATAATATGTTTTTTTTTTATGGTGTTATCAAAAAAAAAAGAAAGAGATAATATATATATATATATATATATTGCTGAAAAGTGAAAAGGAAGGAGAGAGAAAGGAAGGGGGGAGGGTTGCATTAAAAAAAAAAAACAGGAAGAAGTACCTGACAGTCCATGACGGTAACCCCACCATTTTTCAGTAAGGACAGATTTGTGGGTCAAACCATGGGAATTAAAAAAAATAAAAAACACACACAATTCCTGTCTCTGAGATCATTTCGGTGGAAACAACATTTATTCACCTTGGGAGCGAGAAAGCAAGAAAGAGAAATTAGATTCCATTTACATCTAAAGTCTATCTCGAGGTGCTATTACACAACTTTTTACTGTAATTCATTCTGTAATGATGATGGTTTTCTGGAGATAAAGAAATGGGCTCCCTTCCTTGTTTTATTTAAACAAATACCTCCCCACATCTTCATTCTCTATTATTCACCAAGCCTTCCTCTGTCTGGATCATAATTTCACCTTCCCATTTATAATACAAAGGAAGGAAAGAGGGACGTAAAAGGCAAGTGATGGAGCTTACTCAGCTCGGTTTTCTGGAGGAACTACTAGCTCCAAGAAGAGACACTTGGAGCACTTTTTCCTCTGGATTGGGCGAGATGTTCCCCAATAATGATTGGAGTTTTGATTCTTTTGAAGAGATCCCACATTTAGCTCCTTTGAATCCTCTATTACCTTCATTTTCCGCTCCACTGGACCCTAGATTTGAGTGTCCATACACTAATGAAGCAGCAGCAGCATACCCTTCTGTTGATGGATTCACCGTAACAGAGCTTGACTCTACATTCGGCAGGAATGGAGATTCAACACTATTTCCTGCACAAGAAAGTAACCCATCAATAGAGGATGAAGAGTTTGGCTTTCTGGGGAGTGAAAATCAGAGCCTTGAAGAGATGAACACTGCCTGCAAAGTTGAGGAACAAGCCACTGAAGTTCCAGTCTTCAACATGGGTTTGTGTGGGGAGAAAAAACCCAAGTCCAAGAAGCTGGAAGGGCAGCCCTCAAAGAATCTAATGGCAGAAAGAAGGAGAAGAAAGCGCCTCAATGATCGCCTTTCCATGCTAAGGTCAATTGTTCCAAAGATCAGCAAGGTAAAACGTAGTATTCATAATTGCCCAGATGTTATATTTACGATTTTTTAGTTTACTTGATCAATGGTTGGCGCTTGGAACTGATACGGATATGTCAACATTAACAGATGGACAGGACCTCTATTCTTGGAGACACCATAGACTATATGAAGGAGCTTCTAGAAAGGATAGGTAAGTTGCAAGAAGAAAGAACCGAAGAGGGGATAAAACAGATAAACCTCATGGGTAAATCCAAAGAGATGAAGCCAAATGAAGTGATGGTAAGAAATTCGCCCAAGGTATGGTTTTGAACCCTAAAAGTGATGCATTATTTCATTAATGGTCCACTGACTGAATACATACAAGTTCTCTGATATTTTTGACAGTTTGAGGTAGAGAAGAGAGACCAGGACACAAAAGTCAGTATCTGTTGTGGCACAAGGGCTGGATTGTTGCTATCAACAGTGAACACCCTTGAAGCATTAGGCCTTGAGATTCAACAATGTGTTATAAGCAGCTTCAATGATTTTTCGATGCAAGCATCTTGCTCAGAGGTTTACAAGTGCCTTATTTCTAAATTCCAAGGGATTTAATCTCTAATTTCTTACTGGAAATCATCTATATTTCTTACTAATGACAATTATTTCTCGTCAGGTAGCCGAGCAGAGAACTAGCATTAGCTCTGAAGAGATAAAGCAAGCACTGTTCAGAAATGCCGGATATGGCGGGAGATGTCTATAGGACGAAGATATGAGCATTAGGCAAGTATCTAAAACAATTTCCAGATGGTGTAAACGAAGCAATTTTTACCTATATGTTCTTTCGGAATAAATTAGTATTGATTGATGATGTACTTCATACAGCTCTACCTTTTATTTTATCATATATTGGGGTATCGCAGTACAAGCATCAGAGTTCTCATCAGAAGAATATCGCATTAATTTAATAAGCAAGCTTCAATCAAGTAGAATTATTGCTGAACACATAAGAGGAATCGAACTGCTGATTTCATAGATTCCTGAATATGTTATATATTGCGAGTTTTTTTTCCCCTCGGACATCTAGCGAATAATTGTCTGTCATCTGGTTATATATTTGCGCGGAAACCAAAACCACTCACCAACGGCTTCTGGATATTACAATTTTAAAAGGATTGTGGTTTCTATCAGGTACCCGATCTAACACTCCGACAAGCGAGGTTGCTAATTGAATTGCCAATGGACCACTTTTAAAATGAATCACTGTCTTGTAGCTTTATAATTTCTCAATGGTTGCACATAAATTGGGGAATCTACTTGCAAGATTGGGAGGCAGCCCTAGAAGTACAAGGGAAACTGATAGTATCTTTCACGATGAGCTAGCAGGGAAAATCTACAGCCTAATTTCCCTCTAAAGTGCGAAACAGCACTGCTAATATGCAAGATAACAGGGACGAGTATTAGTCCTGATTTTAGCAGCAAGGACATCAATAATCGTGAGTCTGAGTTGAAAAATCTCCTTTTTGACTAGGAACATAGGATGCAATTCAAGAATTATGGATAACACGGGTTATGTGGTGAATCTAAGATGAAGTTAACCGTGTAGATCCTTCCCATCATAAGCAAGGATAAAAAAAAAATTAAAATTAAAGAGACACTGTAAACAAATCATTTACATTCACAAAGGGACCTAACCTGAAGAATATGACAGTGGAACTCAAAGTGTTATCGTCGCTTGTGATATGGTATAAATTCACCTGTCCTCGCCAAGAGCTTCATGTTTAAGGTTGGCTGGCCTCACAAGATGGGAAAGGTAGGGGATGAGGAAGAAACAGACAGAGAAGACGTACTCGAGTCATCAAACTATCCATCATGTTCAAGGCTTCAATCAAGATCACCCATGCCCGCAAGCGTACATGGGAGTCTCCATTTTTTTTCAATCCCCACCACTCACTATGAATGGTGGGGATTGGGAAAGTGGAGAAAAATGGAGGGGAAAAAAATGCAGGAGATCCCCCACCCCCTCTATTTTAAAGCTATATACAAAGTAGAGTACACAGGGGCTAGTCAAAGACTCAAGGTAACAGGGACAGTCTAAGTAGCCAGACAGGTGGCAAATAATAATTTCTGAGACCCAATTTGATGCATCATATTTAGAAAATCGTTTCACAAGTCATTTTTTGGACCCAGAAAAAATTGGATCTCCCATTTTTATTAGCTAGAGAGAAAATTTACAAGAGCTAGCCAACATTAGGTTGTGACCAAACTACATCTAAAAGTCAGCCACTATACACTAGTCTTTCAATTAGCAATCAGCGTGGCTAAAAGATGTTGTGATACAACTCAATCGACTCAAGTAAGATTTATTGACTTTCATCTTCACCAAAAGTTTCGGCTTCAACGTGGTCATCAATGTCTTCATCAGTGCTACAAGTATCCATGAGATTGGCTTGCAAATGTTGAAACTTTTTTATGGCATCTCTAGCTTCAGACATCAAGGCAATTTTTGCAGATTCGACCACGCCCCTCTTCTGAACGATGCTTTCTTCTGTTACTATTTTTCCAAGTTTGGGCATTTCTACTCGCGCAGATGCTGCTCTTCTCCTAGCTTCTCGGCAGCGTAATTGATTAATATACTTCTCATGCAGTACCCTGTTCTTCACTTGCTTCAGTACAGGGGGACTGACAATATCTGAACCACATGAACTACTGAGTCTTGAAAGGGGCTTTCCATGGCGTGAAGATGATTTATCATTGCAACTTTGCCGCCATCCTTGCTTTTCATCTAGCTTCTCGGGAGTAGAGAGTGCATCAATCGGCGGAAAAGCATTAGTAGAAACGTCCGCATTGGGTTCAAGAACAGAAAACAAATCCCCTTCATGGTCCCGATCAACTTTACTATTGCGCTGTAACAGCTTTCTGAGAGACTTTTGAGTGAGATAACTCTTTGATTTGGAACGACTTGATCTTTTAGCTTTGTTAACAATAGGTTTGAGCAGCTTACTTGCAGAAAGCACAACTTCTTGAAGGGGTGATGACTTCATTTTCTTTGCCCTTGATCGAGGCTGATGTTGAGGTGGTGTTAAATGGTCCTGGTGTATTCTTTCGAAGCAATCCTGTGCAGACTTTCCAGGGACCTGCAATAGGTTTTGTATAGTGATGAATTCAAGAGTGAACCCAGAGGTATAAGCTAACTCCAAATACAAGAATGATACGCTCTAATATTAATATTTCATGTCATTAACTTCACATAGGTTATCAACCAAGGATTAAAAAATAGAAAGAAAGACGGAAATAAAGAAAATCACAAACCAAGGCCTCTCCCCTTCCCTTGGGAACTTTATGGCAATGCATTTTGTGTTGTTCCCTCGAAACACTTACAAGGTACACTTCAATGGAGTAAGTCTCACTTGCGCTTAAAGTTGTCTCGTTTCTGTGCGCTCCTCAATTCCTAAAAGTTATAACGTTTCCATCTTTATGGTATATAAGAAATAGAAGATAGACAGTTTCCAAATTTGTCTGAATATCAATTAATATTATAAAATTTAGCTCAGTTGAAGTAAAACCAATCCACTTCTATCAATCTTCCATTGAAGATTATGAAACGGAGAGAAACTTCATTTCTTTAAGACTTCGATTTATTTCACGCAAAAACAATTAAGTTGTCCTAGATTCTAATGATGTCTGAAAGCGTGCTATTCAGCTGTTGGTGTTACTCAATCAAGTTATGATCTCCTACAAACGATAAATTACAGGTGGAATATACCTTCAAAACAAGTGGGTAAAAGTATTCAGTATTCACACCTCAATCATTACGACCATGGAGAAAGACTTGTAAAGACAGAAAGCAGGTTTATGTAATCGACAATCAAGAAAATAGGTGCACATAAAAAAGATACAAAATACTAGGAAAATACCAGTTTAGAAACTTTCTTCCAGAAATGGGGGGTCGGCTTTGCAGCAAAATACGCTTTCTGTAACGCCACCTCTTGTTCCTTTGTCCACCCTTTTGCAGTTGCTTCACTATCTTCATCTCGCTTTCTCTTTCCCTTGACAAGAGCTTCATTCTTATCCTCATATCTCACCCGCACCTCTCTACCTTCAATCGTAAATTCCTCACGAGTAACAGAAACGTCCCTTGTCATCTGTTCGCCTTTACCTGAAGATTTTTCAAACGATTTATCTCCTGCTTCAGCTTTATTAGCAACTACGTTATCTGAATCTTCCTCCACAGAAAAATCTGAATCAATGTCAATAATTTCAAGAGATTTTGCCCTGTTAATCGCTTGGTCTGGTCGAGAAGTAACATGTGCTTCAGCTTTATGAGCAACTACTTGATCTGATTCTTCCTCCACAGAAAAATCTGAATCAATGTCGATAACTTCAAGAGATTTTGCACTGTTAATCGGTCGGTCTGGTCGAGAAGTAACATGTTTCTCGTTCAGGAGCCTCTGAGATCGTCTGAGACTCTGAACGCGACTATTTAGTTCGGCAGGTTTTCTCGGCCCACGAGTCACATTCTCCGAATCACCCAAAGAGTGATCAGGTTTCCTCGATTTCTTCATACCTCTACGTGGGGAATCTCTAAGCTCACGAAAGACAATTTTCGGACGAGACAGCCTGGAAGATCGTCTGAGACAAGGAAAGCCACCAGAGTCATTGTTCAATCTAGAAGATCTTCTCAATTCAGCAGGGAAAGTGTTGCCATTTCTGGACTTGATGCCGTAATCGTTGGATTTCTTGGAAGACTTGTTCTTCGAACCCTTGTGGCTCTGCGGCAAAGGAACAATTTGAATATTGGCAGGCGAAGAAGGTTTCAAGCAACATACCCATTTTCGAGTAGATTTAGAGTCGAGAGACTTGATATCCTCGGCTTTCCGTGGAGTCTTGGGCTGCAGTGGCGGTTCTGTGGTGCTTCCCCGGAGGAGGAATCTTGGGGATCGTCGGGGCGTCGTGGATTCAACACTGTGGATGAAGGAGTTTCTCCGAGGCATTACCAAATGCACTTGACTTGATAGGGTCCCCTGAAGACTCAGTTTTGAACTTTGAAGAAATGAGAGGGAAGCCGGTGTTTCAAACTCAAGTCGCAATCTTTCCTTGTTTGAAGGAGACACCCCTCTTTATGTGCCATCATCAAACAACCCTCTGTCACTCTGTTTCAATTTAAACGCGAAACGTTGTTCGCCTAAAAATATTGGCCGAAGGAGCTAAAGGACTAATTAAACAGGCTTATAGACTTAAAGCCCACACATGTTTGGATTCTGAGGCCACTCAAATTGCAACAAACCCAAATTGGAACAAACCACACCAAAAAAAAAAAATTACAACTCCAACCATGGAGCTATCATGAGAGAAATCTATCATTCCGTTCTGAACATTTCTAGGGGGATAATCTTTATTGTCAACAAAGTCTGCTTACCCAAAAAAAAAAAAAATTGCAGCTCCAACCCAGGCTTCGTAATAATAACGAAAACCACACCAGCACATTTAAAAGTTTTCCCCTCCTTAAAAAGTTATGTTATGTGATGCAAGTCATACTCAGTCCTCATCTTCGGCGTTGGGGTCGAAATCCACTTCCTTAACACTTAAGAGGAAAAATTTATTTGGGCTTATAAACAGGATTTCTGGAGAAAAAACAGAAGAGAAAGTTTCTTGGGCCTGAATTATTGGTTTGGAACAAGAGGAAAGGATTAGGAAGAGCATGAGTTTAGGTTTCGGTTTGGGTGAGAGTTCTTGGGGAAAAAAATTGATAAAAGTTGGGCCAGGTCCAAATTTAATGCGAAGGCAATTATTTAGCTTAAAATATTTAATGGACGAAACCCTAATAATTTGCAAATGCCAGATTATCTTGGATGCATGATAAGTAATTTTTGTGAAATCTAAAAGAGTGGTTGAGCCCAAATTAAATTCTCATGCCCCAGAGCAATCATCATTTGTAATTTAAAAAATTAACTCTAAAAGTTCAAATAAAGTAATTATTTATAATTTTAAAAATTAGTCATTTATAGTGGTGAAGAATGAAAGGGGAATTTGCAAATAAGTGTGAAGTGTAGATGTTCATAGCAAGAGTCACGTGGATACTTTCAATAGAAAGACAATTGTATTTTTTCACTAAAAAAAAAAAAGAAAGACAATTGCATTTTTTTTAAAAAAAAAAGGAACAGATAAAGAGCACACATCAAAACACATCTGGACACAACTTTGGACGCATTTTCTTTCATTCTTATCTATACTTTTAATAATTCCTTCTAAACCATAATATAAGACATATTCTAAAAATCTTACTTGATCCAAAATATAGGGTATTAGATAACTTTTATGTTTGTTTTTTCAACTATACCCTTACTTCATTTATTACTTCTTTTTCAAAAAAATCACGCATTAAAATTTTAATTACTAGTATTAAACCTCTTATGTAGGGTGTTTATTGAGAGCATAAATAAAAAAAATGTGAATATTTTTAAGAATTTTAATATTTTAACTAATATTATTTGTAAACTGTAAATTAGTTAACTATGATTTATATTGTAGTCCAAACAAAAGGATTACTTCACTAAAACTTGAAAATGATAGTTAAGTCATTACATATATCTCAATGAAAGAATTTTTCAAATTTACTCCTATTAAAAATAGGAAGATATAGATATATACAATATACGATAAGTCATAAAATTAAATTTACAAATGGAGTAAAATTAAAAAATAATAGTAAATAACACTTCATGTGCATTACATTAATGACCAAAATATGCTTTTGAAAGGGCAATACAATAAGCAGGGGGGAGTGGACACTTACTCTAGATCAGTTTTGGCATACAGTAGTCCTCAACCAATTTCATGTCAATTGAGAGGACAAGAGAAAATCTAAACTAATTCGGATCAAGCATTACAAAAAACTTTTGGGCAGTGAGCACTGCCATCAAGTTTAATTTTAAAGTCGCTGCATTCTCATCATCACTCAAGCTGGGATCACTAATTAAACCAAAACAACTCCTTACCAATTGATTCAGCTCATCATCCTAAAATCCTCTTCCCTTGTATATGCAAAAGCTATCTGCAAGTGCAGCTGCGAGTTTCATTCAACCTTTCCATCACCATGCTGTTTGATGCGTCTGAAAATACAAAAATCAATTTGGCAAATCGACCTCAATATGCTACCCCAAAAAAAAAAAAAGTTGTTTACCCGTATACCAAACTTTTAAAAATATTTCCTTATATATTATAAATTTGAAACTTGGTTTATATCACACTGACATCTAATTTTTATATATATATATATATATATATATATATATATATATAAGCACAAAATTTGGTCTCAATCAGACTAAGTTTGTACTTGCAAAACCTTTCACCCCCACTTCCCACTTCCTCTCTTCATACCTTCCCTTGTAACACTTTTTCCTGTAGGGCTATACATGGTGTCCGGTTGCCTAACATGCCCAGCCCCACTCAGTCAATTTTCGCCCTGCTTTGTGCAAAAAACAAAAGGAGCCCCATATGATTTGGGAAGGGGCACAGCTAATGTACATGCCCTACCCAAGATTCACATATGTTACATAATGTACTTTATATTTTTAGTTTAAGTCTTAAAATGTGTGTTTTGTATTGTATTTTTTCCTAGTAATGTATATTCCCTATTTAAATTTTAAGTTAGAGATTATTGTCTTTATTATCTAGATTTAGGATGTTGATACATCCCTAACAATAGCATTTCATCTTCTTCAAATTTCTTTTTCAACTAATCACTTTACGTAGATTCACTTTTTAAATTATTAAGTTGTATATGTAGCTTTTTTTTTCATTCATAAATATTTATACTTAGTACCATGGCCAAATCCCCAGCTATTTCTTATTTTATTTGTTAATTTATTGTTATTTCTTCTATTTTCAATCGAAACTTGTTACCATTGTTGGTTATTTGATAACAGGTTGCTATCTTTTATGATGTGAATTTATGGAGTATAGATATTATTTTAGATTGAATTATTAAATATATTTTCTTCTTAAAATGATGTTTGTTATGTTGGATTTAGTTAAGTTTTCTTTACAAATGTTGCATAGGGTATTATCACTTAAGCATGACAACTCAAAGGTGCCCAACTCATTTTACACAGCTTGACATATTGAGGCTTTTAGCAGGTTAGGCTGGCAGTGGGTTGCATTTTGGAGCCCATTCAACTTTCAAGCTGGGCATCGAACAGGAGCCCAATCTTGCCCATATGCAGTCATATATATGTGTGTGTGTTATATGCAATGATGTGAGTTTTTTTCCCCTAACATATAGGTAGGTATTTATATATAACATAAATTATATTTTTTTTATCTCAAATTATAAATTATAAGACAATTTAAATAAGATTACATATATCAAAAAATACAATAATAGCACTTTGTAAGTGTACTTTTTTGAAATAAAACTATAAATTTTTAAAAATACTCCTACATACTTAATCAATATAGCTAATTCATTTCAATTATCTTGTCACTAGAAATGTAATATTAAAAAATTATTATTAATGAAACCCTATTTTTTTTTAAATTGTCTTATATTTTAAGATAAAAAATTCCTCCAAAATTGTCCTAAAATTTGAGACAGAAAGAGTATATTAATTTTATAATATTAATTTTATAATTATAATTATAAACTTCAAAAAATTATAAAAATTATAAAATAACTATTTAACAATATATAATTAGTAAAAAATAAAATTACATAATTTTAAATTATAATATATGATTTTATCAATTATAAATAAATGTAAGATCCCCTACTTAAACAATCATAATTATCATGAACTAAATTATTTTTATGATTTTTTTAAACATTTCTTGTCATTGTAATTTTTTTAATCTCTTTCAAAATTTAGGAATTTTTTATTAATTAAATATCATCATATCATGTAAAGAATATATTTTAAATGATAATAATTATAATTTTTATAAAAAAAATATTTCTAAAATTATTTCAGGTCAATCAAGCTGCTCGAATTACACATGAAGCCCGATCCTATTCATATGCAACCCTAAAGGGATTCCTATTACTTATTATATAATATGAGATAATTATTTTATAATTTGAATAATTATAATTACAAAATTTATATTATATTTATTATACTTATAATCGATCCTGTGTATGTACAGCCCAAAGTAGAATTCTATTACTTAGAGAAAATGATAATAAAGTCTTACCAAAATATATAAATAACAATCAAATCTCTTGAAATGTTATAATTCTTATGAAGTTTTTAAATACCTTTCTAACATTAATAATTTTATATTAAATGACTAAATTACCCTCTTTTTAAAAAAAAAAATAACGAGTTAATGTGAAAAGTTATAATTTCTTATTCAATTCTTGTGTTTCATAAAATATAAATTTTTGTTGCTTAAATAAAAGTTTTAATTAAGAATTTAAAACTTAAACTTCAATGATAAAAATTATGATTGTTCAAATTTTTTTTTTTTGAAAGTATAATGTGTGTGTGTGTGTGTGGGTATATAATTTTGGTTTTTGCAATATTGAGGTCAATTTTTTCTCTTGACCAATGAAGGATAAATCCATTCGAGAGAAAAGCGTAACAGAGTTCAACCAGGTGCAAAAAGGAAAGACATCAAAAGTCATAAGCCAAACACATGGCAAAGACCTAATGAAAAGAACTAAAGCAAAATAATAAAATCAGCCGATGCCTTCTCTGTTACAATTCAAAATGGGTTGATGAAAAACTGCATCAGGAGCCTTCAGTATAACAGCTAGACTGCTAGAGGGAGTGGAGGTCGAAGAATCCAACCACTTGAAATCACACCCTTTGGAGAAGAGGCAGCCATCCAATCAGCAGCAGAGTTTCCTTCACTCTTTTTAAACGAAAAGGGGAGAGAGGTCTAAGACTCTCAGACAGCAAAGAGGTCATTGTTCATCCCATGATAAGACCAAGCACGGCATGAAGCATTGCGACCAGTGATTGCATTAAGAAGCTCTAGGCAGTCGATTTCCACCTTGACTTGGCTATTTGTAAAACTGGCGGCAAGGTTAACAGGCTAGGAATTCCATCATAAAACTCACACCATCCTGTTAGGAAACTGCCATTATGCGATCTACAAATGACACCA